GAGGAGGAAGAAGAAGAAGAAGAAGAAGAAGAAGAAGAAGAAGAAGAAGAAGAAGAAGAAGAAGAAGAAAATCCACACATCACCCACCTTCTGGCTGCCTAAGATGTTGACACTCCAAATGCAGCCCAAATACCCCTTGAAGAGCGCCCCCCAGGAGAAACAAACTTGACCACTATGCCATCATCAAATTTTCCCTGACCACTGAGTCAGCCATGATGAAGATGGAAGATAACAACACACTTGTGTTCATTGTGAATGTCAAGGCCAACAAGCACCAAATTAAACAAGCTATAAAGAAGATCTATGATATTAATGTGGCTAAGGTCAACACTTTCATTAAGCCTTTCATTCGACTTGCTCCTGACTATGATGCTTTGGATGTTGCCAACAAAATTGGGATCATCTAAACTGAGTCCCGTGGTTGCTGTGATGCTGAAGACTGTGACAGTGATGTGCCAATAGTGGTAATAGGTACCCATGGTGGACAGTGTTGGCTGGAGCTTACCGACTAAATCAAGCCTGGAAGCAGGAGCGGCATCCACTTCCAAAATAGCTTGCCTCTGGAAACTCTATGTACGAACAGTGCTCAGGCTGTTCGTTCATAGGGTCACTATGAGTCGTCTAAAACTCAACGGCATCAAACAACAACAAACTGAGTCCAGCTGACTAATTCTAAATACAAGTTTTTCTCACCAAAAAAAAAAAGGAAATATGAAAGAGGCAGCAAGCTACTGAGCTGAGGCTCTATTTATGGCCTTGTTCTCTGGATGGGGGTTGGGGCTAAATCCCAGGCAAATAAAATGGTGTCATAAAGAGTTCAAAGATTACTGGGTGGTTCTCATGCTCGCTCTTGTTCTCTGAAGCTATATATGCATCCTAAGTATCCATTACTTCTGACATCATCATGTTCCCAAGGCACCAATTAATTCTATGCGTGCCAATATTGGCTTCCTGATTCTGATAGCTTAATTTTCCAAGTACAAACGTTTGCTTTTTTTCTTGGTTCTAATCCTAACAATGATACACTAACTTACATGATAACAATTAAGATAGTAATCACCATTAGAGAAATAAGTGACTACAATAGTCTCCTTCTTCTATAAGTGATATTAGTGTTGAGCTTTTTCCCCTGAGCTAAGAACAATCATAAGTCTGTTCATTTCATGAAAGCTCACTAATATGTCCTTTTCTGTATTTAAAGTATGCTTTATAAGACATTTTTAAACAGAAAGTTTTTAAGAAAATCCATTCAAGACATTTGCAACATTTAAAAAAACATTTCTAAGTAAGAGACTTCTACCACTTTTACCTAAAGAGTTGTGCTGTCAGTCCACCAGCTTCTTGGAGAAGAAATATGGGCAATCTTTGTGCAATTTACAGCCCCTGAAAAACTCACTAGATGGTCAATTAAAAACTGATTCTGACTTGATAGCACACCATAACACAGCTTCTAAGTAAATGTTTATAAGAAAGAGTAAGTTAAAATAGGTCGTTTACAAAAGAATAAAACAGTTTAAAGACCATCTCAGGAACATGTCTGAGACCTTAAAAACCAGATGAACTGTGAAAGGATATCAAGAATATCATTCATGAGCCTTACAAAAAAAAGGTCATTACAAAGACAGAGGAATAAGAAAAGAACAAAATGGATGTCAGAAGAGACTCTCAATATTGCACTAGAGCACTGAAAAGCCAAAGTAGAGGGAAGAAATAAAAAAGTTAAGGAACTGAACAGATGATTTCAAAGGGCAGCTCAGGAAGATAAAGTATTGTAATGAAATGTCTAAAGAACTGCAATCAGAAAAATCAAGAGACAAACTCGCTCTGGATTTCTTAAACCGAAGAAACTAAAGAAAAAAAGTTAAGCCTTGAGTTGCAGTACTTAAAGATTCTATGGGCAGAATGATGAATGTTCCATGAAACATCAAAATATGATAGAAGGAGTACACAGTCACTAAAAAAATTTAAAAATTGTCTAACAGAAGACTTTAATGAAACAGCATATGATCAAGAGACAATGGTGATGAAGGAGGAATTTCAAGCTGCTCTGAAGAAATTGGCAAATAAAAAAAGCAAAAACAAAACAAAAACAAGGCTCCAATATAAAAGAAATACAAATTTACATATTTCAACAAATGAATGCAGACCTGAACATGCCAAGCAGGTTGTGCCAGGATATCTGAAGTATAACTAACAGAACCAACTCAATGGAAGCAGTTCATATTTAATCCAATTTAAAAAAAAAAAGGTGATGCAAAATTATTGTGGGAATTATTGAGTAATATCACTAATATCACACACAAGGGTGAACCATGATCCTACTGAAGATTATCCAAAAATGATTGGAACAGTATATTGACAAAGAACTGCCAGATGTGCAGGCTGAGTTTAGAAGAGGTCACCTTACTAGGATTATTATAACTAATGTTAGATGGATCTTGGCTGAAAGCTGAGTACCAGAGAAATATTTACCAGTTTTTCATTAACTGTGTGGATCACAACAAGTTGTGGCTAATCTTGAGAAGAATGAGAATCCCAGAATATTTAATTGTGCCTATAAGAAACCTATACTTCAACTGGGAAACAATCCTTAGAAGACAACAAGGAAACACTGCATGGTTCAAAATCAGAAAAGATGTGTGTTAGGAATGAATCCTGTCTTCATACCTCTTCAGTCTATGCAGAACAGATCATTCAGGAGACTGGACTTTATGAGGTAGAATGTGACATCAAAATTGGAGGAAGTCTCTTCAACAACCTGCTCTGTATAGATGACACAACCTTGCTTACTGAATCTGAGGAATACCTGAGGCATTTGCAGCAAAGGATCCAGGACTAGAGACTTCAATATGGGTTGAAGCCCAACCCCAAGAAAACAAAGATTCTAACCATTGTGATAACTGGCAGCATGATAGATGGAGAAGATATTGAGATTGTTAATAGCTTCAACTTACTTGGCTTCATAATCAACACTCTTGGTACCAGCGTTGGGAAAGTCGGCTGTCAAGGAACTCTCCAGAGTACTGAATAGCAAAAAAATCTTGATCTAAGATATTGAGCCTGATCTAAGCCATGATCTTCACAATTGCTTGTTATACATCAGAGAGCTGAACAATGACTAAGGATGATAGTAGAAGGATAGATGTCTTTGAGTTGTGGCACAGGAGATGAGTATTGAACATACAAACAAATAGATCTGTCCTGGAGAGGATGAAACCAGTCTTTTCCTTGGAGGCAAGGATTTTGAAGCTCTATTTCATATACTGTGTCCATCTGGTCAGGAGAGACCAATCCTTGGAGAGGGGCATCATGCCTAGAAAGTGGAGCGACAACACAAGACAGGAAGACCCCATATGAGATGGATTGACATAGTAACTAGGTTAATAGAGTAGATGTATCAGTGACAATGAGATTGGTTCAAGATAGAGCAGAATTCAGAGCTTATAGGATCTGTAGGAACGACAAGTGACTCAATGGAACATAACAACAACAGCAGCAGTTATTAAAATTTTAGAAGAGAGGTAGAACTGTACAAAAAAGTCATATTTCAATTGTAAAATTGTTTTATAATTTGTTAACACACAAAAATTTAAAAATTATTTGTATTAAGAAATTTTGTTAGTATCTTAAGTATATCAACAAAAAAGGAACTTTAACATATGTTCTTAAAGAATGTTAAAATTTAGAGGATGGAAAGAGGGGGCAAAGGAAATGGGAAAGATCTTGCGGGGTTCTGAAACGACAGAGTAATGATGAGCATAGTCCAATGGTGATTAATTTTATAAAATAGAATGCCTGAGGATAGACAAAGGAAAATTTTAAGTTTCAGGAGAGAAGGTGCTTCAGGTGAGACACTAACACCCAGAGCCAGAATGTTTGGATGCTGGTGAAGAGACAGGGACTGAAACTTTCCCAAGGAAAGGTCAATTCATTTGCTAAACCTTGCCCATTCTCTCCTCTCTCCCCTTGCAGCCTTGAGGCCATCCCAGGAGCCAAACAGGACAAGCGAGTTTTGAGACAGAGCTACAAACAAGGGAACTACTTTCTCAGCTTTCTGCAAAAAGAAGGACTGACTTAAGACCACCCTGCACACAAACTGCTTAAGTTGGTGCCCCTGATCTTGTACTTAATTGTATTTATGGGAAACCTACACTTGGACCAATTGGTAGCACTGTGACAGAGAAGAGATTGAGGTTGTTAACAATTTCAGCTTGCTCAGCTTCACAATCAATACTCTTTGCACCAGCATTCAGGAAATAAAAAGTTGAATTACATTAGGGGATTATACTGCCAGGGATCTCTCCAAAATGCTAAAGAGCAATGACATCAGCATAGAGACTAAGGTGCACCTAATTCAGGCCAATTACTTGCAATGCCTCAGAGAGCCTAAACAATGACTGGAGTTGAAAAACAATTGACACCTTTGAGTTGTGGTACTGGATAAGAGTGTTGAACATATCATGGTGCCAAGAGAACAAACAAGTTTATTATGGAAAGGGTGAAATCAAGTTTCTCCTCAGAGGCAAGAATTTTGAAGCTCTGTCTCACACATTTTGTGCATGTGGCCAGGGAGGACCATTACCTTGAAAAAGACATCATGCTTAGAAGGGTGGAGGATTAGTGCAGGAGAGCAACACCTGGATGACATGGATTAAAACAATAACTGGGATAATGAGGGTAGGTGTGTTAGAAGCAAGAAGACTGGCTCAAGATAGGGCAAGGTTCAGAGCCACTGTACATATGGCTTCTATGAGTTTCAAGCAACTCAATGAATGATACATAACAACAATTCAATTTTATTTGGAAGCTCTTCTGAGAATTAGTTATTGAGGAGTAAATTTTGAGGAACATCAATCATATTTTCAAATTTTAGTCTGCATGAATAGGGAATGCTAAAGATGTTCTGTCCTTGAATACTATATTTTATGCAGCAACAATGATGATACCAGATCTTACCCTTGATGATTCCTGATGACAGCATTTCCTGAGGTTGGAACAATGTCACCAGTCAGCATTTTGAATGTGGTGCTCTTCCCAGCTCCATTTACTCCTAGAAGCCCAAAGCACTAAGGGAAGACACAAGGTAAACAATTAGGAAAAAATAACATTTACTTTCAAATAAGAACAAGTAGGTGTTGTTGGTTTGTGATAACTGTAGACCTTTAAAATAATACCACTGTATAAAGCAATTAAAGATTTATGAAGTACTTTCAAAACCATCTTGATACTGAATGATACAAAATTCCAGTAAAAATTTATAAACATTCCTGTAGAAAAGTCAAGAAGACGGGCAGTAAATGTCAGCTACTCCAATACATGCTGAGATTCCCATGTCACAAATACTTTACAAATCTTTTTAAAAAGCAGCCCAGTTTATATTTTCTCCATATTCCATTACTTATTTTCCAAATTACATAAAATAATTCTTTTCAGAGCAAGCATAACAGGTAGTTCAAAACATGCATAAGACAGCATAGCTAGTCTTAAAGCAATAGCAAGCAACAAAAACAATATTCTTTTCTTCACATTTTTTCTACCACAAATCATGGCAAGATCCCAAGGCAACTGCTAAATTTCACTGGACTGGTAATTAACTCATTCCTCTCTACCTCAGAACACTCATCTCTGTCACACTTTTTTTCAGCTTATACACAGGACATGGATGGTAAGCAGATAACAGTATTGCCCACTTTGAATTCCTCTGGTGCTTGGAACAATATGCATGCAAGACTGTCTTTTATTTTTAACAATTAGAGATAATGACTTCCAAAGTGGGTTTTCTTTTATATTCTAAATCCAAATCAAGAAAAATTTATATGGCTTCTGTAAATTCCTACTAATAATTTTTCTCATACTAAAGACAAATTCATGAAAAAGTTTATGAACTATTGTGATGATACATGAGTTGTCTTAACCTTATCACAATAACTTTTTATTACATTAATAACTTAAAGAATACTAAATCCAAGTGCTGGAACTGCTTTCCTTAGTTTATTCAATTTACAAATTTTTTCACTGAATAAAAGCCATCAGGATACCCTGATGATGATTAAAATTCTATACTCACAAGGAATTTCAAAAATTATGTGACAAATAAGCCAAATCAAATCAGTATACAGAAAATTTAAAGTTACATTCTACTAACCTATTGCTTCTACAGATTTTACAACAGTTTCTTAAATTGAGAATTAATAGCTAAAAGGAACCTTTGAAATTAAGAAACTGAGGTGAAATCTGTAGATTTTTACCCCAAAAGTCAGATATTCTGAAAGTAACAATGGCCAATTTTAACTTAAAAGGCTTGCAACAGGAAGGGGTAAGATAAAATTTATTTACCTCTCCTTTTGAGATACCCAAACTAATATTCTGCACAGCAGTGGTCCTTCTGAAAAAGTGTTGATAAATTTTGCTAAGGTTGTATAACACAAGAATGTCTCCACTGGTTCTTCCTTCAAACACTCTCCTTTGCTCTTTCTCAACATCTATATTCGCAGAAGTTTCAACCATGTTTTTGAGGGAAGAGTGACTTCTGGAAAGATAAATTGAGAGTTAGTCCATAGAAGAAAGATTATAATAGGCCACAGAGTTCAGAAATCTATCAATATAAAAGGTATGGACTTCAGAAAAACAAAATCAAAACAAACTAAACTCTGTTGCTATTGAGTCAATTTCATCTTTTGTTGAACCCATATGTTACACAGTAGATATGGTTCACAGGGGTTTATTAATCAAATATTTCAAGAAGCAGGCATCTGTTTTGTCATACAAATCAGTTTTCCTTACTGACCTGAAGAAAATATCTATATTCCTATAAAACTCTGCAATAGTTGTCATTAGGTGCCCTTGAGTTGGAACCAAACCATTGCTGACCTTCAGCAAATTTTGAGAGGCTGTAGGTGGCATGACAGGACACTACCCGTCTTTTTTCCTTCAGAGTATCAGGAGGATTCAACTGCATGCTTATGGGTTGGCAGCACAATTATCCATGAGGCCACCACAGGTCCCTATGGTTTAGCCATAAGGTGATTATTGACTGGAAGAAGTCTCTGTGAAGGCATCTGAAGTACTGGTAGTTTTCAATTTATTAATCTGACACAGCTGTTTGAGATTATGTACTTGTAAAAATGCAATGAATATTGTGTATTTCTGTATGAACAACAATTTTACTTAACAATAAAGGGGGGAATAAAGGTTCCAAATTGTATCCTTCTCCTATCTCTTCCCAATTGAAGATACTTTTGTTGTTTTGTTTTCCCAGGGTAAATGCTTCATTTTGAACAAAATTCTACTTTTACTTAAAACAATTTACTTAACAGTAAAGGAAAAAAGATTCCAAATTGTTTACTTTTCCTATCTTCCCAGTTGAAGGTACTTTTGTTCTGTTTTCTTTGGGTAAGTGGTTCATTTTGAAAAAAAAATATTTTCTTTTAGTTCTTGAAATAGTTTAATTTTCTGAAAGATAGTCTCAAGAACTCTGGAGCCTAGTCTGTAGAGAGCTGTACTGCTAACCCAAAGGTCCAGACCCTGGTAGTTTTACTTCTCCAAAGGCTTCATGAGAGAAAGATGAGCATCTCTTCACAGGCAATTTACAGTCACTGTGTCCTCCTGTATGAGTTATGGCCTCTGAAAACCCACGTGAGGGTCAGCTACGAGTTGTTTTCAACTTGACAGTACATACCAACAACAGAGAGAGATACACTGCCCTAGAAACAATATCTGGCAAAGTTATAGTAGTTTTATGGTTATAGCTTCACTGAATTCCCACTCTTAATCTGCCTCCAAAAGTAAAATTTCAAAAACTACAAAATTTGGGAGAGATTGGAATGCGCTATGCTGAGTGAACTACCTCAGTCACATGAAGACAAATACTGCATAGGACCATTGTTGTAAAAATAGAAAAATAGCCGGTAAAACATGTATGGAGGTCCAAGGGGTCAGGGTGGGAGCAGTGGGTTGAGGATGAGCAAGGGAAAAATCACAGGGTGAAACAACTTGGTGGGTAGAGGGAGGAGGTAAAGGAAATGGGAAAGATTCTATAAGGATTTGAAAAGTCTTGGTCCTGGGGTCATGGTTCAGTGGTGATTGATTTTACAAGATGAAATGAATAGGAATGATTGTGTGAAACACAATGTGAATGAAGGGTAGTGTGAAACACAATGTATATGAATTTTGTGTGCATACCAATATAAAATTTAAAAAATAGTTAAAAAGTCAATATTATAGTATCAATTAATTTTTTCTTAGAAAATATAATCAAAGTATATGGTCTGTCATGAGGAAGTTAGGTAATTTCAAAAGAGAAAATACAGTGATCCTATTAAATAAATTGATCTCACCAAGTGTCATTAGACATTAAGTATAATTAGATATATGTCATATCTTACAACTTCTAAGATGAAATTTTCACCATATTTCTTTTAGAGAATCTGTGATGTTAAAGGGTTAATTAAAACTGCAGGAAATACCTCAACTGTTGCAGAAAGTCCCAATGCAACAGAAGCCTCAGTAGGAGGAGAATCGTGCCATGCAAGGCCAACTCCACATAGATCCAGCCTAGGAAGTTCATCTCAAAGGGACTTATGTAGGAATCAATACCAAACTTGTGGGTCAGGTCATATTTTATCTGATTATAACAAAGCTCTATCAGTCCTTGTCCCAGGCAGAATTGAGGAAAGATTGTAAAAACCCATTTGAGGACATCATAAATGTTCTGTAAATTCTGCATAATGAAAGAAAAAGAAATAAAATTTGAAAATGTCTGCTTTTAACAAATAACTTCCATGTCTCCTTGACCATCCCATATCACAGGTCATTTCTATCTCAGCAACTCAACAATATCCACAGAATGGAACTCTCACCCTTGTCAATTGGCTTCTTCCTTTACTCATGTTGCATGAAAGCTGTGATTGTGACTGTTATTGTTATTAACACATGGTTTCCATAACTAATGATTCAACTTTCCCCATGTGACATCTATCCTCTCTTAATCTCAATTTAGTTATTTCAAAGCTTCTACTTTTATTAAATCACCTGAATCTCAGAGGAAATATAATTTTCAAGTATCTTTAATCTCATAATATTAATAAAAAAGAGCCTACCACATGCCCAAATAAAATGGAATGGATTGAGAAATTATGGTATATTCACACGGTGGAATACAATGCAGCACTCAGGAGCAATGATTTTCTAAATTACGGCCTCAAGCAAAATATCTCTCTCTGAAATTGATACACAGGATTTGGACTTAAATTCTCCTAAACAAGAGATGGACAACAGTGTGAGAGACCAATAGCAGTGTGTAGTACAAGGCATCACAGAAGTGACTGGAGATCATATTAAAAGGTAGTTGGGAAGGAAGGGTTTGACCAGGTAGCTGGGTGTGCAAGAAATGGGGATGTAGTAGGGAAAGGGTAGAGCAAGTCAAATATGCTTGGGGATGGGAGAGGGTGGGCAGTGAATGTATTCGTTATTTCTGTCAGGGAAGGGTTTTTTATCTTGTAGGTAAAAATGCTTGTCTGTCAGATATTCTTCTAACAATGAACATCCCAATTAATAGACTAGGAAGGAGGATTGGCTATCCACTTCTGAAATATAACTGGTCTTTGAAAACTCTACGAACAGCAGAACATACTTAGACTAGACTAAGAGTATGGAAATTGAAGTTGAGCCCTCACAAGTGGAAACACAAAGGACAAGAAACAGTTGTAAGAAGAAATTAACAATTGGTATATGGAATATGAGAAGCATGAATATAGGGAAACTGGACATTGTAAAGAAATAGAACATATAAATATGGACATACTGAGTATTAGCTAAATGAGATGATTTAGCATGAGACATTTTGAATACCATGATCATATGAGCTGTTATGCTGGAGATGAAAAAGTGAGAAAAATGAGATTGCTTTCATAGTTAAAAAGGGCATTTCTAGATTCACCTCTAAATACAATATTTTGAGTTACACATACAAGGAATATCTGTTAATACCACTATCATTCAAATATATGTGCCTACAACCAGAGTCAAAGAGGAGAAAATAGATGATTTTTATCAACTGTTGCAGTCAGAAATTGATTGACTATGACATGTAACCAAGATGCATTAATAATAATGGATGACTGGAATGCAGAATTTAGGGACTAGGAAGAGGAATCAGAAAATATGGACGTGCTGACAGAAATGAGGCTGATAGAATTCTGTACAATCAATTATCTATTTTTAGAAAATACCTTTTATAAGTAACATAAACACAGGTTATACTCATGGATTTCACCTGATGGGATGCACAGACATCAGAATGATTATATCTGTGGAAAGAACAATTGGAGAAATTCAGTATCAGTAGTGAAAACTAGGTCGAGTGCTGATTGTGGAACAGACCGTCAACCGCTCATATGCAAGTTCAAATTAAAACTAAGGGAGGTTATATCATATCCAAAGGAATCAAAATTTCATCTTGAGTTTATCTACCATGAATTTAAAAAACAACTCAAGAACAGATTTGAGGACTTGAACACTACTGAATGAAGACCAGATAAGCTGCGGGAAGATACCGAGAATATTGTTGATGAAGTATGCAGAAAGTCACTACAAAGAAGAAAGAAGAAAAGAACAAAATGGATGTCAGAAGAGACTCTGAATATCGCACTAGAGTGCTGAGAAGCCAAAGCAAAGAGAAGAAATCAAGAAGTTAAGGAGCTGAATAGAAGATTTCAAAGGGTCACTTGGGAAGACAAGGCAGGCAAAACATTATAAAGAAATGTGCAAGGAACTGGAGTTATAATATCAAAAAGGGCCAAATATACTCAGCCTTTCTTAAGCTGAAAGAACTAAAGAATAAATTCAAGCCATGAGTTGAAATGCTTAAGGGTTCTACGGGCAGAATAGTCAATGATTCAGGAAACAATGAAAGAAGTTTTCTTTTACTTTTCAAAACGAAGGCTGCATAGTGGAGTGGACTTTGGGGGAGGGATTGTATACCAGTGAAAGAATTTTTATTTTACTTTTCCAAGAGAAGAGCAAATTGGGGAGGGGGAGGCAGGGAGTTGGGCAGGGAGAAAAGTGCAACAATGAATGAATGGAAATACAAAGTCTCTGTAACCTTTTATTGAAATTAATTTTTAAAAAGATAAATAAAACACAAAGACTTCATTTAAAAAAAACAACACAACATATGGAAGGAATATACAGTCATTGTACCAAAACTAATACGCTGACACAGAAGAATTTAAAGAAACAGCATATGATCAAGAGACAATGGTGATGAAGGAGGAATTACAGGCTGCTCTGAAGGACTTGGCAAAAAATAAAGCCCCAGGAATTGATGGAATACCAATTGACATATTTCAGCAAACAGCTGCTGCCTTGACTCACCAAGTTGTGCCAAGATATCTGGAGGACAACTACTTGGCCAACTGACTGGAAGAGATCCATATTTATTCCCATTCCTAAAAAAAGGTGATCCAACAGAGTATGGAAATTATCAAACAATATCACACAAAAGCAAAATCCTGCTGAAGATTATCTAGAAAAGACTTGAACAGTACATTGACACTAGAAACATTATTGCCAAAGTAAAATGGTTCTTGTAAGAAAGTACCAGAAGAATGTCTATCTGTGTTTCATTTACTGCAGAGGCATTTAACTGTGTAGATCACAATAAGTTGTGGCTAGCCTTGAGAAAAATGGGAATCCCAGAATACTTGATAATGCTTATACAAAACCTATAATTGGGCAAAAAAATCAGTCCTCAGAACAGAGCAGTGAAACACTGTATGGCATGCATAACAGATCATTCAGGAAGCAGGGTTTTATGAGGAGTGTGATGTCAATATTGGAGGAAGACTAATTAAAAACCAACGATATAATATATTTGGGGCTAGGGGGTGGGGTTTGGGGAGGTGCGGGGGGGAGATTGTGTACCAATGAGGGAGTTTTTCTTTTGCT